TTTACTAAACTGATTAGTTTAATTAGTATTTCTGTGGAGGTTTTGGGGTTCTTTATGCATATTATCATATTGTCTGCAAATAGTGATAATTTCACTTCTTTTCCTATTTGGAGTCCTTGTATGTCTTTCTCTTGTCTTATTGCTCTGGCTAGGACTTCTAGTATTATATTGAAAAACAGTGGTAAGAGTGGACATCCTTGTCTTTTTCCAGGTATTAATGGAAATGCTTTCATCTTTTCACCATTGAGAATGATACTGGCTGTTGGCTTGTCATATATGGCCTTTATGATGTTGAGGTATGTTCCTTGTATCCTGAGAATTTAAAGGGCCTTATCATAAATGGGTGTTGTACTTTGTTGAAACTTTTCTCAGCATTTATTGATATTATCATATGGTTTTTATATTTCTTTTTTGTTGATATGTTGGATTACATTGATTGCTTTTCAGATGTTGAACCATCCTTGTGTTCCTGGAATAAATCCTACTTGGTCGTGGAGAATTATCTTACGGATACATTGTTAGATTCTTTTAACTGAAATTTTATTCAGGATTTTTGCATCCGTGTTTATTAGAGATACTGTAGTTTTCTTATTTTGTGTTGTCCTTGTTTGATTTTGGTATTAGTGTAATGTTGGCTTCATAGAACGTGTTTTGTATTATCCCTTCCTTCTCAATTTTTTGAAAGAGTTTATGAAGGATAGGCACTAGTTTCTTTCTGACTGTTTGATAGAATTCATTTGTAAATCTATCTGGTCCTGGGCTTTTGTTTTGGGGGAGAATTTTGATTACCATTTCAATTTCACTGCTTGTAATTGGGCTGTGTAGGTGTTCTATTTCTTCTTTATCTAGCTTGGAGATTGTAAAGTAGTGGGATTTTGTCCATCTCTTCTAGAGTGTTCAACTTGTTTGCATATAACTGTTTATAGTAGTTTCTGATTATTCATTTGATTTCTGCTGTGTCTTGTGATTTCTCTTCTTTGATTTGTGATCCTATTTATTTGTGCTTTCTCACATTTTTCCTTTGTGAGCGTGGCTCGGGGTTTGTCTGTCTATTTTTTTGAAGAGCCAAAGTTTTGGTTTCTTTTGGCATTTTTTGAGTTTCTATTTCATTTATTTCTGCTTCGATTGTTACAAAGCAGAACTTTCTTCCTCAGGTTTTTGGGGGTTTTTTGTTGTTCTTTTTCTCGTTCTTTGAGATGTGAGATTAGATTGTTTCTTTGAGTTCTTTCTTGTTGATGTGAGCCTGTATTGTTATATATTTTCTTCTTACTAGTCTTTTTTGCTGTGTCCCATACACTTAGGAAATTGTTGTCCCCCTTTACTCAACTCAAAGTATTTTTTAATTTCTTCTTTAATCTCCTCATTAGTCTAATGGTCTTCCAGTGGATTTCAATCTCCATGAGGTAGGAGGGTTCCTTGCCTTTTATGATTTATTTCTAGTTTGATGCCTTCATGGTCAGAGAAGATGGTTGGTATGATTTCAATCTTGTGTTCTTTTGTTTGTAGTAAAATATTTTGCTTTTTCATGCAGAGGATGTGTTTGAATGTGTTTTACTATGTACTTTTAAAAACAGAAGCAACTGGAGAATATTTTACATCTTTTTTTCTAGATTCTCCTGCATGTATGCTGAAACCTCTGTCATGTAATGCTATCTCATTTTGACATTCCAGAACCACCTTTAGGAAAGTAATCTTATTTCTGTAAGTTAAATACATTATAAAACTACTTAGATCAGAATCGAGGTCATGATGCTTATTATTCGCCATAAACTGTATTTATAAAATAGTGAAAATACTTTAGATACTTAATACACATATATGTACATATACATACTTATATGCATTTTGTATGAATGCATACATGTGTGTGTATTTATAATTGCCAATAGTTGAACCAGCTGGATTTTTTAAACTTTGGTTTCCTTAAACTTCTACTAAATCTACTCTATCCTTCATATCTTAATTTTTAATGTAATCTGTTCTTTTAATATTAACCATCATCCTTATCTCTTGTGTACATGTGATTAACAGTCACCAATCAAGATCTTTTCCAATTTTCTACTTTCAAAACTCCTGTCTCATTCTCACCCCTAAAGTATCAGAAATATCCTCTTGTTAAGGCATATATTCAGCTCTCAAAGAAATGGTATTTTTCTTCTTGTTGAAGGAATATTCTATCATATTTGTAGTTTCATCTCTATTTTTGATATCTTCAACTCAGTAATACACCATGTCCTCTAACTGCCACCTCTCACTTAACTTTCCCTATGATTGTGAGCATGCTTAAATATTTTTACCAAATAGACAAAAGTATCTTTGATCCTTCAGCCCATTCTGGCTCTTGCTGTTTTGTGCTTTTTAAAAGTAATTATCTTAGGGCCTCCCCGGTGGCGGAGTGGTTGAGCGCTGGGCTGCGAAGCTGCCCACAGCCTCTGCAGTGCCGGTTCGATCCCCGGCCACCGGGTGAGGGTCCCACATGGCACGCAGACCTCTCCTGCTGCACCTGCTGCTCCCCTCAGCAGTGTGCTTCGTCAATCTGCCTCTGGCTCTGGTAAATTCTCTGACCTTCCCACGCTTCTGACTGTAAAATAAATAAATAAATAAAATCTTTTTAAAAAGAAAAAACTAATTATCTTAGTGTAAATCATTTTACATAAAATTCTTAATCTATATCACTGTGCCCACATATGGGTTGTTACTAACCAATTCTCTCCAAGAACATCAGTGGCCTCCAGGTTATTAAAGTTAATGCATGTTCCTCACTTTGTTCATGTATTATAGCCAATGACTGAATCATTGGATAAGTGTCACTGTATTTTACATTTTAATGTCAAGCCATTAAATTAATCTTTTAAATAAATAAGCTGTGTAGAAGTTTGATTACACAAATGCATTTTTTGATCTTTTGTGAGGTAATGATGGAGAATGAAAAACTGTTTCAAAAATAGCAAAAATTCTAGTTCTTCCTTTGCAAAATCATTGTTAGAATTTAGGACATGATATTAAATAGTGTTCAGAACTGTCATAGCAGCCTTAGCATTTGTCATTTAAATCTTTTTACTTAAGATTTCTCTGCCTGTAAAATGCTGATATTGTAATACCTCCTTCCTAGCCTTGTAAGTGTTAAATAGTGCTTACAGTAGTCATTTGACAAATGATCAGTATTACCACAGTGAAAACCAACCATTAGTTCATTTTCTGCTTTCCCACTTTGGGGTTTCATTTTTTTCATGTTTGTATCATTAATATCTAGCCCAGAGTCTCATTTATATTTTTGACCCATAGTTTATTTACATAAAGTATGTATGTCTAAGTATTACAGATAAGTAAATCAAACTTTTCTGTGCTTTAGTTGTATACCGCTCTTCTTGGTCTTCAGTTATTACTACGTAGTTAAGTATCTAGAATAGAGAGAACATTTCTTGGCATTTTTCTGATGCACTCAATATAATAAATCTGACTTTTCTGATGAGATAAATTGTACTGTGAGCTAAGTTTTGATTAGTTTCCGCCAGACTTTCTTTTGTGTTACACATAGCAGTTGATGAGCTTTAGTAGATAGCAGTGTATAAGGGAATTAGCCTATTGATATCTGTTCTAATATAGTCTGTTTCTTTGACACATAATTCTTTACTTTTGTTAATTTGCAACATCTGAACTGTAACACTACATTTATTTCTTTGCTGCTTTTTTAAACTTGGAATGTAATATGTTTGTTTTCTATTCCCTGAATATCTACTATTGCAAGTCATGAGTGTGCCTCTGTTGATAAGCAAGGGCATTTTATTTCTTAAGATAACATACGTTGGACCTCCCTGGTGGCACAAGGGGTTAAGCACAGCACTATGAAGCTGTCGGAGCCTCTGCAGCACGGGTTCAATCCCCGGCCACCAGGGAGATGCCCACGTGGCCCAGCGGACCTCTCCTTTCTCGCCTGCTGCTTCCTCAGCAGTGTTTCGGTCAGTCTACCTGTTCTGCTCCCCACTCTGCCTTTGGTGAATCCTCTTACACTCCACACCTCTGGTCTGCGCCCCAGTTTTTTTTTTGTTTTTTTTTAAGATTTATTTATTTATACAAGCACTGGGTACAGTCAGAAGTGCAGGAGAGTGAGAGAATTCACCAGAGCCATAGTGAGGAACAGAACAGGCAGACTGACGAAATACACCGCTGAGGGGAGCAGTGGGCTCAGCAGAGGAGGTCTGCGCTCCCTGTGGGACCCTTGCCGGCAGCCGGGGATCAAACTGGCATTGCAGAGGCTGCAGGCAGCTTCACAGCCCACTGCTCAACCACTGTGCCATGAGGGGAGGCCCCGCATCCCAGTTCTTGTATGTATAAATAAATAAATCTTTTAAAAAAAGATAGCACAGGTTATTTTTTTTAAAGTATATAAGATTAAATTTAAGCATATCCTTACATCGTTTGCTAGAAGTGACCCAGACTTACAAGTGACCCAGACTATGTCTACTTGTGTGTGTACGTGTATGTATTATTGGTATGTATAACATATACTGTATATAGTTTTATGTTTAATCATTTGATTAAAATTTAAAAGACCATTATGGTTACTGAAACTGAAAGTCATACTTTAATTTACAATTTTAATAGAAGAGGTATATAGCCAAATAATATTCAGGAGTAGTAAACATTTATTTGATTATTAACTCAATTATTGTTGATTTTATTACTAGCATATTCTTTCCAGGATCTTTAAAAATATATTAATGTTTTTAACTTATGGATATAATTATATTCAAGGTTAAAGGTATGGCTTTATTACTTTTATTAATCTTCAAGCCTTCCTAGATTTTGCTTTAAATATTTTTCACTTTAATATCGCATGATAGAAGACTCTAAAAATCTATTCACTCAGTATTATATTATTTAGGTAAAGTAAATAAATTTTATCTGAGTCAAGATAGAGACTGTATTTGTTAAAAGGACTTATGGAAAAAGATAGAATTTCAGTACCTAGTATCACTTTTTATGATATCTTTTTTTAGTGGATGATGCTGGTAAAATAGAACAGGATGGTTCCTCTGGAATGGCAATTGACGCAGAGACAGAAATTGATCCTTGTAAAGTGGATGGCACTTGCCCTGAAGTCATCAAGGTGTACATTTTTAAAGCTGATGCTGGAGAGGATGACTTAGGTAAGAAGAAAGCTCAGCATATTATGTCTTAATGTGTTTCAACCTCATTAATTTTGGGTGATTTACAGAGAATATTTGAATTCTTTTCTGAAGATAATTTTGAAATAGATTTCTAGTTTTACTAGTGTAAAATTATTAATTGAAGTGATTTCTTACTAACGTGAAACAAGTAGAAATGATGTTTGCAAACAAACTCTTGGAGGTGCATCTTCCTTGGTAGGTGGCACAGTAGACATTGTGGAGAGTGAGCCTGAGAATGATCACGGAGTTGAGTTACTTGATCAGAACAGCAGTATCTGTGTACCAAGGGAAAAGATGGTTTATATGACTGTCAACGACTCTCAGCAAGAAGATGAAGATTTAAGTAAGTAGGTGGCCTTTTTATGGGACAGTTTTCACTGTCTGTGTGCTTTAATATTTTAAAATGAATCAGTATGTGAGGGTAAATAGCAATACTGATACAGCAATTACTGCCATATTGCAGAACACCAGACTTTTCATGCATGTTTAGGATCTTGATTTAATACAAATTATAATGGATGTCAGAGAAATGAGTCATTCAACAAAGATTTGTAAAGGCTTTCTGTTATGAAAGTAATATATTACAATAGATTTATGTAAATTTGTCCATTTCATGAACATAGTTTAGGAATGTAACACTTGAACCTTCTGTCTACTAACCAGATTAAAATAAAACACCATTCCTATTTCATCTTTGTATACCCAGTCACAAAAGTGTCCTGTTAATTTTTTTACTTAGGTGTTGCTGAAATGGCTGATGAAGTTTATATGGAAGTGATTGTAGGAGAGGAAGATGCTGCTGTTGCAGCAGCAGCAGCAGCTGCTGCTGTGCATGAACAACAAATAGATGACAATGAAATCAAAACTTTCATGCCAATAGCATGGGCAGCAGCTTATGGTATGTTACACAAAATCTCAGAAAATTGCCTGATTCTTGAATACCAGTTTATTACTGAAAATGTTTCTATAGTCTTAGGCGTGAAGCACCAGTATAATCAATAAAGTGAAAACAGAGAAAATTGTGTAGTCTGCCTTTTATGTTAGTTTTAACAGGAATTTCCTTTATGCCTACTTTATATAAAAAAATACATAGACTTCCAAACTAACTTTTTTTTTTTTTTTTTAGGGTATATCTTGCTCTTCCTTTCCAATTTTGAGTGATAGAGAATTCATTGTCAAGATATTGCTAGATTTGCAAGTTAAACAGTTTCTATAATTTTTAAGTAAATGTATCCATAAAACTATTACCTGGAAAAAGATTTTCTGTCATTCATGAGTATCATAGTTTTTCATTGTTGTAGCATCCCTAATTCTTTATAAAACTGGATAATTTTGTTTTCTAATGCACTATGTTAGGTAATAATTCTGATGGAATTGAAAACCGGAATGGCACTGCAAGTGCCCTCTTGCACATAGATGAGTCTTCTGGGCTCAGCAGACTGGCTAAACAAAAACCAAAGAAGAGGAGGAGACCTGATTCCAGGCAGTACCAAACAGGTGAGGGCACAGGAGTTCCACAGCTCAGCGTGCTTTGTGAGCTTTCAGATGAAACTAGTGTGTATTCACAGAAGTGTTGTGATGGCATTTTAGTTGCTGGACCCCATGTAACGTGTATCGAATGTGAAACTAATTTTAAGAATGCAGTGATATTACGAATGATTCTTAGACAAAAGAAAGTAAGTTTTGGATTAACCAGTAGGGAAATAATTAAAATCCAGGTGGTCTTTGTGGAAATGAAATACAACTTTAAATGAACAACAAAAATTTTTTCAAGCAAAACTAGCATTTACGAGGCACAGTATAAATATTGTAATTGTTCACTGGACATTTTCCTTTCTTTTGTGCTCTTCAGTACTCATTTGTGCACGCTAAACTTCTTGGAAGTATGATTAAACTTTGTGTTTATTTTGACTTGGAATTACAAAAGCTGTAAGATTATACTTTATGAATCATGTTCTGTACTATCTAATAGTGGTTTTAAAATCACTTAAACTGAGAATGAGTTTGCTTTAATCATTAATCATTAAATAAGGTCTTAGGACATAGTCTCTTCACTGTTAAGTTGTAATAACTTGTTAACCCTTTGCACTCTGCTGTCCCCTCTCAGGGGACATCAGAATTCTAGCATATCACTCGGATGTCCCCTTTCAGGGGACATTGCAATTTATTAGTGATTACGGGGAATTGAGGTTATTTCAACACAACTTTTTGAGACATGCATGTTTCCCCCGAAGTTTTATCTTGAAATGGCACAAGAAATTAAATCAAAATATTGTAAAATGGTTTGGAGTGCAAAGGGTTAAAAAACAGTAAGAGAAGTGCTAGACAACTTCATCTAGGAGTAATTGTCCAATAGTATTCCAAGTACTAAATTTATTTTTTTTTTTAAATAAAAAAATTTTTATTAAATTTTTATTAAATCCCTAAAGAAACCAAAATAGAACTTGTTTTGATTACTTATGTTCTTTCCTTTTCCATTCTTAGCAATAATCATTGGCCCTGACGGACATCCCTTGACTGTCTATCCATGCATGATTTGTGGGAAAAAATTTAAGTCGAGAGGTTTTTTGAAAAGGCACATGAAAAACCATCCTGAACATCTTACCAAGAAGAAGTACCACTGTACTGACTGTGATTACACTACCAACAAGAAAATAAGTTTACACAACCACTTGGAGAGCCACAAGCTAACCAGCAAGACAGAGAAGGCCATCGAATGTGATGAGTGTGGGAAGCATTTCTCTCATGCTGGGGCTTTGTTTACTCACAAAATGGTGCATAAGGAAAAAGGAGCCAACAAAATGCACAAATGTAAATTCTGTGACTATGAAACAGCCGAACAAGGCTTATTGAATCGCCACCTTTTGGCAGTGCACAGCAAGAACTTCCCTCATATTTGCGTGGAGTGCGGGAAAGGTTTTCGTCACCCCTCAGAGCTCAAAAAACACATGCGAATCCATACTGGGGAAAAGCCTTATCAGTGCCAGTACTGCGAGTATAGGTCTGCAGACTCTTCTAACTTAAAAACGCACATAAAAACTAAGCATAGTAAAGAGATGCCATTCAATTGTGACATTTGTCTTCTGACTTTCTCAGACACCAAAGAGATGCAGCAACATGCTCTTATCCACCAAGAAAGCAAAACACATCAGTGTTTGCACTGCGACCACAAGAGTTCAAACTCAAGTGATTTGAAACGACATATAATTTCAGTTCACACAAAGGACTATCCCACAAATGTGACATGTGTGATAAAGGTTTTCACAGGCCTTCAGAACTCAAGAAACATGTGGCTGCCCACAAGGGTAAAAAAATGCATCAGTGTAGACACTGTGACTTTAAAATTGCAGATCCATTTGTTCTAAGTCGCCACATTCTCTCAGTTCACACAAAGGATCTGCCATTTAGGTGTAAGAGGTGTAGAAAGGGATTTAGACAACAGAATGAGCTTAAAAAGCATATGAAGACACACAGTGGCAGGAAAGTTTATCAGTGTGAGTACTGTGAGTATAGCACTACAGATGCCTCAGGCTTTAAACGACATGTAATTTCCATTCATACAAAAGATTATCCGCACCGTTGTGAGTACTGCAAGAAAGGGTTCCGGAGACCTTCAGAAAAGAACCAGCACATAATGCGACATCACAAAGAAGTTGGTCTGCCCTAACAATATTACTACAGACATTTGTAAAGATGCTGGCCTTGGAGCAGAAAATACATTTTAAAGCCAGTTGGTCTTTTTCACATACAATGCTATGTACAAAAGAATTAATGCTTCTACTTGACTTGTCTTTACATTTTATTCAGTAGGGTGTTCTTGATCCTGTTCAGTTTGTTTAATGAGAAAAAATGGCAATATAAGTTGCTTTGATAAAATAATGCCTGATTCTTTACCGAACTTTTCCAGTCTTAAGTTTTACTATTTTGAGTATTTAATCATCTTGATGGTACTCTTCTAAGACCATTTAAAACAAAGTATTTTTGGTAATTCTAAGTGATTATTTTGACTTATTTAACCCCACACACAAATACAGTAAAAAGAAATTTGTGCTCGTTTAAAATGGGAGATTTTACTTTTCAGTCTGATTATAACATGAAAGCCATTTCTTTGTCTTCCTTAATATTTTTAAATCACATAACAGTGAAACTCCATTTGAGCCGCTATCTTTGATGACTTTAGAACATTGACTAATTTTGTGTTCAATGTTCATTTTGTGTACCAGGAAAAACATGCTTCCTTTGACTAAGTCTTTAAGTCTTTGGTCAGCATAATTTTAGAGAACTCATTTTGAAAGGGTTTGCTCTTTTCTGTTTAGTTTTGCATCTGCCTATACTGCTTTCCTTTATAATTTTTGATTTCTACAAGTGAGACTTACTATGATGTGATTAGTGGAATCTTTAAGTGATAAATTACAACTCACAGGATTTTTGCAGCTTGTATAAGTGTACCCTAAATTTTCTTGAACTTATTCATTGCTTATTTTGCATATCACATCCCAATGGTTTTGTTTATTTACACATGAAACCCTAAAGATTAGATCTACACTGAGAAGAATTAAATGTTCAATAAACTGAAAGAGCTAGGAAGTATTAAAGAGAATTTTGCAGACTTGCTCTTCCGAGCATTAAAAATGCAGGTGAAGAATTGAATGGAAAATAGAATGTTAGTGTTATATATTCATTCATTTTAGAGAGAAGATATTTTCTTCTAAGGATCTGTGGTAATTGGAGATAAGTTAAGGTATTGCTAGGTAGAATGTTTTTATACAATTTCACCTTCATAGTTTAAATTTTTTAAAGCCTAGTGAGTATCCAAAAATTTTACTTGTTTCTCATTAAGAAAAGGAACTGTTTTCTCACAAACTAAGAAGAGTTTGGAGGAAAGAATGGTATAGAAAATAGGTGCTAATTAAACTTGTTCAGCCCACACTTTTTTCAGTTAGCATATTTTAAAAATATTTAACACTATAATTTGACTTTGATTAGAAAATAAAGGAATAAATCATTCAAATTACACAGTGAAAATGTAAGGCTTTTCTTGAATCACCAAGTCTTAGTGTTTTGGTTTTTTTTTTTAATTTGAGTTGAAATATTTTAAGTAGTAAGTCGTAATTGCAAATGTGATATAAAATGAATTCAAACAATTAAAATTTGGTCGTGTTGATATAAATTTTGAGAACAAAATATGTTTTACTTTACTTAAATTAATATGTATTGGCACATTTTGAAGATAAAGTTTTCTTTCCACGTGGTAGTTACCATGCAAATTAATTATGGTGCTTCCTTCTCTTCTAGTGATATTTTTACCTTTTGCCTTTCTCTGTTCTATTAATATTCATATTCAGAAGTTACAAGGTTAGATAATACTTGGTTTACTTAGGTCTAAATATTTGTTTTTACCTGCAATCTCTGAAGCTAATTTAGTCTAGTTCTCAGTCAAGTGTTTCAGTCACATAGGAATTTAATCTAATTTCAACCAAAGCCTTAAGAATGTATTTTAGAACCTTTTTATGCTCTTAAGACCCATATTTTTGTCTCCACCTCCTTTTTGGTATCCACACATTTTTCTGTTCTTGAAATTTCTTATTTTTGTGTGGTAATATCTTAAATCTCCTTTGAATTTGGTTTTTCCCTGAAGTAATGTAAAATGAAATGTTTAAATGAAAGTTTACATTTAAGAATTATGAAATATTCTTTAAAATAAGTACAGCTCTTCAATTATATTTTAAAAACAAACTGAAAGATATAGAACACAACACTATATTTCTTAGTCATACACAGTTGTTTAGTTTGAGTCATACACAATTGCTGTTTATTAACAAATATATTAAAACCTTTAAAAGGTAAGAAATTGGTTACATGAAGATAAAAACATTTGTCTTTATAAAGAGAAAATGATGTTGTATTTACTGTTAGATACTGATATTAGTTCGAGGCTGTTTGAATTCTTAAAACAATTTGATTAGCAAAGCTAAACATGTGGACGTTTCATTTTGTTTTAAAGAGGTACAGATTTTTACAAGGACATAAGTTATTGTTTTGTTGAAATAGCCTATTAAATATTATATGTCCCTCTGTACACATTGTAAAATACTTAAGAAATTCATATAGAAATGTGTGATACTATTGTAAATGTGTACTTGAGAATAACATGCAAAAATAAAAATCAGACTATTTTGCTGTTAATGTTTATAGTCTATTTGATAGCAGTACACCAAGTAAACACTTTTTCTTAAGGAACAAAAGTGCAATTTAGTTAAATAAAGTGGACTATTTTTGTTTGCATATTTTTTAAATCATTCTATATAGTAGTATAATACAAGATGCCTACTTGCTTTAATTTTATGATTTGATGAAAATACTGTTAATCTTACGGTTGTGACAGTAGTATTTTAGGATGTTTAAAAGCTTGGTGAGTCAAATTAGCTTCATTTCTCCTGTCTTTTAAATATTAAGATATAGTCCACTGAGATAAATTTTCTGTGCATAAAATGGTTTTCCCAAGCACACAGGTTTTTCTGAATAAATTCACAGCGGTAAGTGGTGAGGATTATTGCCATTTCCATAGCACAAGGCCCTGCCGAATATTTACACCTTTGATTCCTATTTGGAGGGCTGTAGTAGACACATAAAATATAATGAGTTACTGTCATAATAAGTCAGAAGGTAGTTACTAAATGTATGCCAGTTCCTTTGATCTATTATTACTGCAGTTACAGTATACCACAAGGGAACTTAAACCTGAAGATCAAGATAAAGGTCACTGTCACTTTTAATAGCTGGTGAAAGCCTGCTACATAATTCCTGAATTTTTTTTTTTCTTCGCAAAAACTTGGAAAGAGTGAACTCTCTGAAGTCCTTTTATGAGGGTACTAATTCTATTCATCAGGATTCCACTCTGTTGTCTGATCACCTCTATGAGTCTGAATTTTCTGATGCCATCAGTGGGAATTGAGGTTTCAACAAATATTTTAGAAGTACACAAAACTTTCAACACAGATATTTTAGAAGTGCTCAAAAGAGTTGAGACTTATATGATTTTCATTGCAGTAAATTCACATAACAAAACGTCTCATAGTCTGCAAGGAGTGACAAATTTAGTTTATGTGCAAACATAACCTCTGTTAATTCCAAAATGGTATCTTTCATTCAAAAGATAAAGATTTTAGAGAGTATCGTTTTTATAGGAATATGGATTTAATAATTCAAACAGTAAATGATAAAATTTTGAGTTGCCTTAAGAAAATTGTGACTGTTACTGGCCAAAGGTAGAGACAAGACCACAGAACTGATTTAACTTGCTTGTAACTTTTAACACTAGGCAGGTAATTATACCTTGCCTGCACTCCCAGTTTTATCAATATCCTTTCCCCAAATTGTAGGACTGGTGTAAGAAGACGACCATGGCTAATCAATAGTTAAAAGGTGGTATTTCAGAAAAATTGTATGAGAAATGTGGCCAGGAACTGCCAGGTATTAATGTCACTTGGAAATACATTAACAATGGACTGTATCTTGGATGCACTCTATAGCTACTCCATAAAAAATTGTATAGGGCCCAGCAATCTGTTCCTCTGTGTGTGGGAAGGGAGGTAGTGGGGGGTTGTTAGTAAGCAGCACAAAACCTATCTTCTCATTTTTTAATTATACAGTATGATGTTAATTAGTATCCATGCTTCTCTAAAACATATTTCTGTACTTTATACCGTTATTTCCCTTCCTTTCAGCTTCTGGTTACAACTATCCTTTGTGTTTCAAAGAAGCTGATTAGTATCTTGTAAGTGAAATCATACGTATTTGTCTTTGTGATTGACTTATTTCACCTGACATATTTGAGCTTTATCTGACCTTAAAGGAAAAATTTTCAGTCTGTCTTCGTTGAGTGTGTTAACTGTGCATGAGAGAACACACATATGCATTAAATATACATATATGTTCACATAGATATTTATTACATTAATGTAGTTTTATTCCTAGTTTGTTGTCGGTTTTGATCTTAAAACATTGCTGAATTTTGCCCAGTGCATTTTATCTGTTGAAATCATGTTCATCCTTGTTAATATGGTGCGCTATGATAATTGATTTTCACAAGTAGAGCCAGTGTTTTATTAGTAACTCTTCACTCATCATCATATTAGTATAATACTTAATGGGTTTGCTAACACTTAGTAAGAATACTATGGTATTGGGTCAGTAGCTTTCTATTAATATCTGACTTTGGTATCAGGCACTGCTCCTTCATAAAATGAGTTATATACTCATTGGAAAGACTGGAAATCTTTATTCCTTAATATTTGGAAAAATGGTGAAATCATCACAGTCTGAGTTTTGCTTTACATTATTAGAAGATGTTTAATATTAAATATCTCTTCTTGTTATGATATTCCAGTATTTATAATTTAATTCAGGTATTTTGTGCATTTCTAGAAATTTGTTCACTTCATGTAAGTTATCTAAATTGTTAATGGCATTAAGTTGTTGATAGCATTAATATCTTTTTGTTGCTATGTAAGATCAGTGGTAATGGGCACACACTCATTATTGATTTAATTTAGTATTTGTTTCTCATTTCCCTTGTCTATCAATGTTACCTATCCTTTGGGTTTTGATAATTCTTCCTAATGTTAGGCATTTCATTTATCTCTGCATTCTTCTCTTATTTTAGTGCTGAGTTTGCTGTTTTATTCTAGTTTTTCAAGATTTAAAGTTACAATATTTGTGAAACTTTATTTTTAATCTCTAAATTCACCTTTGAGAACTCTTTTCTCTAAGCATCATAAACGTTTGCATGTTGTGTTCCTTTTAATTTTTCTGTTTTTTTTTTTTTTAAGATTTTATTTATGCATACAAGAAGTTGGGTGTAAGCCAGAAGTGTAGAGGATTCACCAGAGACAGAGTGGAGAGCAAAATAGGCAGACTGACTGAAATACACTGCTAAGGAGAGCAGCAGGAGCAGTAGGCAAGACAGGAGAGGTCTAGCTCGCCATGTGGGTTGCTCCTTAGCTGGTGGGGATCGAGCTATAGTTTCATAGGTTTTGGATAGCTTCACAGGGCTGTGCTTAACCCCCTGCATCACCAGGGAGGCCCTCTTTTTTGTTGTTTTTTTTTAAAGACAGCCATTGCTCTGAATGACATGGGAAGTACTTGAGGTTTTTGGGGGTTTTTTGGGAAGATTTTTTATTTATGCTTACAAGAACTGGGGCACAGGCCAGTGGTATGGGAATGAGAGGATTCACCAGAGACAGTGGGGAGCAGAACAGGCGGATTGACTGAAATACACTGCTGAGAGGAGAAGTAGGTGTGTCAGGAGATTCTGCTATGCCATGTGTTTAGCTCCTTGGCTGGGGATTGAACTCAAGTTGCTTAGGCTGCAAATAGCTTCACACTGCTGTGCTTAACCCCATGCGCCACCAGGGAGGCACAGTTTTCTGTTTCTTTTTAATTTGTACATTTTTTGTAAATTTTCTTTTATTTAGTGATTTCTAGGAAGAGCTATTTTATGTAATTTCAACATGAAAACAATGGAGACGTTTTCTAGAGTAACATATTTCTGAAGACTGTACCTGAGCACTTGAATGGAAGATGTGTTTTGTGTTTGCAGTTGTTGGAGAGTTTATCTTTAGTGGGTGACCAATTCCTCAGTTTTCTTATTAATGTTTTCCCCTCAGTTTCATCCATTATTTAATATGGAATTGAATCTTATAACTGCTTGTCAAACTATTTTCTATTTTTCCTTCAGTTTTGTCAGTACCACATATATTTGTCCATTTCACCTAGGTGCTATAAATTGGTTCTGTTTGCTATGTATTTGATTGATGTATTTTGATTGAAAGACCCTTTAATCAATATAGAATTATCTTTTGAATATTATAATAGTATTTAACTTGTTAGACACAAGACAGGTGCAAAGTAGAGCCATTTATAATATTGATACATTACCAAACAGACTTTTTAGTTTTGAGTCTTCCAGAAATGCAAATTTAAAACACGTCAGTTAGGAATCACCCAATTAGCACTAGTCATCTGCCTTAATAGATGCCTAATAGATATTTGACATAAATGAAAATGAACATACCCCAACCAATCCATTTAACCTATTTATACCTAATTTGATCCTGCTTCCTTTTGCCTATAAAAGTCTATTGTGTATAACTCCTCAGAGCTTTCCATCAGCGATATTGGATGCTGCCCAATTCATGAATCATTGAAAAAAATAAGGTCTTCAAATTTTACTCAGTTGAATTTTGTTTTTTAACAGTTGTTGGAAGGGATTGGATTCACAGACTGCTGATGGCCAACAAGAAACATAGACGTTGGTACCAGATAAACCCTTTGAATTTTCTGTCTTCATTTTCAAGTGCCATGGGTAAGTTCTGCTTGAATCTAAACTCCACTCTCTCTGTACTTAGATAACTGATCTAATTGTTTTTAAAATTCAGGGTTACAGGTGAGTGAACTGAAGGAAAATGTAACCATGGCCCAATCCCTACCCCTTGGTGAGTGTGTGGTATCACTTTAGTGCTTAACAAATCAGCTTGAATTGGTAGAGGGATCCATCTAGAAACCATGACAGTAGCAGTTAGTCCTATTTCTTGGGGTCTAAAGATGATTTTGTGGTTCTACTTTGGGATTTCCTAGATCTATTAAGCACCAAAGGACAGCAGGTGCGAAGTATTTTTTTTTTTTTTAAAGATTTATTTTTATTTATACATAAGATCTTGGGTACAGGCCAGAGGCATGGGATGGTGAGAGGATTCAGGAGCAGAACAGGCAGACGGACTGAAGACACTGCTGAGGGTAGTAGCGGGCAAGGCAGGAGAGGTCTACTGCACCCTAAGGTATCTTCCTGGCCAGCTGGGAATTGAACCCATGCTGCAGAGGCTGTGGACAGCTTCACACCGCCACCGGAGAGGCCCGTAAAACTATTTCTTAATTACTCGTTTTCAAATCTGTTTCTTTATTCACTGTTGGTTTCTGTTGCTATAAAGATGGGGTAAAGAAATTTCTTGTTGTTAAGGCTTCTGTCAGTAGAATAACTGAAAATTGGTGGGTATGTTGCCAAATGTTAATGTGATTACTACCTAACTTTTTTACCAGGATAAGTTGGTCACAGAGTGTCTAAATTGACCATCCCAAGAAAATTTTCATGCAATGAGATGTACTCATGAAACACTCGAGTCCCCCAACCTAGCAGAACATCACTATTAGGTGTTAACTTATTAACTTAGTTCAAGAGAACTAATTGAGTGTCAAAGAGTTGAGCACGACAACTTCTGGCATATCCTGTTTTTGTATAGGAACTCTGTTATCATTCCTT